CAGGAGCACATACCACGTAGAGCTTGATTATCAGATTTATCCTCACTTCTTTGACCATTCTCCACAGTGGGGTACGCGAGCTTCACCACCCCTCCATCTTTTTCCCTTTGCCATTACAGTGTTGCTATAACGAAAATCATTAAACATAAAGCTTTTCAGCTTCATTTAAGGGTCTTTCCTTATAACAAACTCTCAAAGTGTAAATTTCTGTGTACTTACCGGTGTGTGTACACACATGTGCAAGTGTTTGTGCCCATGTGTGCATGCATGTACAAGCATCATATGTCTTCCTCAGTTGCTTTTTACCTTACTTTTGAGATTTATGATCATCTCCTAAATTCCTGGATCACTGGAAGATACATTGTTCATTAGAAATTTAGGTCCTTTGTCCTCTCGTTCCTGACGATGTCGACCCCAGGTGATTTTTCATACCTCTGTTAAGTTGGTGGAAACCCTACCCTTAAGTGTTTACTGCAAAGATGAAGTCCTGCAAACTTCCCCATACTTGGTATTTCAGGGGCTTTGGCACAAGTTAGACATCTTATTAATGAACGAGAACAGAGGTTGTTCAGAGGTTGCACCTAACAGGTACAGCAAAGGATAAAGGGACACCGAGTCTTAAGGGTTACCGAGGACATAGGATTTACAGGTAGCAGCAGAAGAGCCCACTTCCAATTTCAGCTTCCTAGAAAGAATCAGAAGCACTTTGTTTTCTTGGATGGCTGACAGGCAGCCTTCCATCACAGGAGGAGCCTGGAGTCTTGCCCTCTGCTCTGAGCTTCTTTGCTGACTATCTGACCTTACTCCTTTGAGCCTAGATTCTCTCATCTGGAAATTGAGAGTAATAATAATTCATGTTGTTGCGTTGGTATTAATGCCTCCTCTCCCTAGATTTACAACCTATTTTCTTCTGTTTTTTTTTTTTTTGTCTTTTTTTGAGACAGGGTCTCCCTGTAGCCCCAGCTGACCTGGAACTCACTACATAGACCAGGCTGGCCCTGAATGCACAGAGATCTGCCTGCCTTTGCCTCCCAAGTGCTGGGATTAAAGGCCTGCGCCACCACACCAAGCTTCTCTTTGTCTTTTATACATACTTTACTCTGCCTTGTATTTTTAGAAGTACCCTTACTAACTTTTCAAAGGCAGGAATTCAGCTTTCACTGTCTCTGTCACCCCTAAAGCCTACCATAACACTTGCATGCTGTGAGCTTAGGAGTTGGAGTCTAAGCAGGAGACAGAAACCACACAGTAATTTGAACAGAAGGAACATAATACAAGGAGTTATTAGTCTCTAATATGAGCAGTTACCAAGATGGAATGAGAACTCCAAAGGCTTCTCTAGGGCTGAGAGTGACCCAAGGAAGGACAAACTTAGAAAGGGCCCTTATCCATGTATAGGGTGCCAGTGCGGCTGTCATCCATAAGATGGAGTGAACTAGGCAGGCTGAACCACAGCTGGTTGACAGTTACTGGGCAGCAGAAAGTCTCTGGGACACAGGCAAGAGTTTAGAGGACAGTTGTGCAGAGAGATCCACTCACACTGCAGTGCAAGACTGAAGGAGGGCCACAGTGAAGTGGTTCCTGGGCCCCTGCCAGGGCTGCAGGGTCACTGATTAACTGGCCTCCAGGCACATAGTGAGGCAGAACACCACTCAACATCTCTACCCACTGACTCTACACACCACCTCTAGGATTCAGACCTGGATGAGATAAACCCTTCTTCCTGTAATATCCCTCTACCGCCCCCTACTGACAAGGGTTGGGTAGTGCATGCTCTAGAGGAGAAATGCCCACAAGGTCCCTTACAGAGACTAAAGAATGGATTTAGAGCTGAGAGGCAATAACGTGATACATGGATGATCAAATAAGTTCTAATTGTTGTTGGGGAAATGATTCAATCAATAAAGTGCTGGACATGAAGATCTGAGTTTGGATCCCTAGCACCCCTGTAAAAGCCAGAGCTGGTGGTACGTACTTGTAATCCCAGTCCTGGGGTGGGAGGTAGCAGAAACAGGAAGATCCCTGGAGACCGTTGGCCAGCCATCTGAGCCAAAATGATGAGATCCAGATTTAGTGAAAGACCCTGCCTCAAAAAATAAGCTGAAGGGGCTAGGGAGATGTTTTAGCAAGTAAAAGTGCTTGCTGCCCAAGCATGAGGATCTGAGTTCAAATCCCTAGCACCCAAGTAATAAACCAGGCATGATGATGCACTCCTGGAACCCCAGTGCTGTGGGGGAGTGGAGAAGGAGGAGCACCAGAGCTTGACAGCCTTCAGTCTAGTTCTAGGTTCAGTGAGAAACTCAGTCTCAAGGGAATAAGGCAGAGATGATAGAACATCGTTCTCTGGCTTCCACGGACACATAATTTGGGCATACACTACACACACACACACACACACACACACACACACACACACACGGGGGGGGCAAAACTGTGTAATTGATTACATTAATTACAGCCATGTAACTTACCAATGGCCCCTTTACCACCTTCTTATTTTCCTGTCTTTGAATCCTATAGATTTCACCAATGAATGTCAAACCTCTTTTATTTCTTTTGTAATTTGCTGTCTAGAAACTCACTCCCCTCAAGGGTTCTATTTTGTCTTCTTTTTCCTCTCGCCTCATGAGAGAGAGAGAGAGAGAGAGAGAGAGAGAGAGAGAGAGAGAGAGAGAGAGACTGACTGACGCACACAATCTGAGACCCAGTGTTTGGTTTTACAACTCATTTCTCCACTCAGACTTGAATTTGTTTGTCCACTGTCTCATTTCAAAGCAATCTACCTGTCCTTCCCAGACACTTGAAGAGTCCTGGAAGCACTGGACTTTAAGGGGCAGTGGGAAGAATCTGGGTTGATCTGAGAGCCAAGCTTTCAGTACCTTTAAGGAACATGCCTCAGGCATCTCAGGGCAGACCAGGGCTCCATCTCCTCTGACCAATCTGAAGGCATCTGTCCATAAAGCCTCCAAACATTTCAGAAGAAAATAGGTAATTAGGGAGGAGATGGCTCAGTGGGTAAAGAGTTTGCTGTGAAAGCATGAGGACCTGACTTTGGATCCCCAGCACCCACATATAAAGCTGGGTGTGGTGGTGAGTGCCTGTAATCTCAGTCCTAGGAAGCAGAGACAGGAGGATCCCAGCGGACTGGCCTGCCAGATTCAGTGAAACAGCCAGATTCCGTGAGAGATCCTGTCTCAAAAATAAGGTGGAGGGTAAGAGAAGACCTCTGGCCTCTACATATATGCATGGGCATGGGCACACACACACACACACACACCCACACACACACACACACACACACACACACACACACACAAAGGAAGGGAGGGAGGAGGGAGGGAGGAAGGCAGGCAGGTAATAGAGCAAATAGCAGATTTGGCAGATAATTAACCAGCACAAATACTTGGAAAGCATTACAGAGGGCTAAAATATTCCCCTGACTCAGGTGAAGAGTCCTCCAGGTGCTGTTCTGCAGGACACTATGTTATTAACAGGCAGCAAGTGTGAGTCAAGACAGTGTTCTTAGATATCAACCATCTTGTCCTTCTAAAATACTCCATCCTCTGCCCAAGAGTTTGATGGGATTTGTGTAAACTGATGGTTCCCTACAGGAACTAACTCAGCAGTGAGGTGGGGGTTTGGAGACGACTTCCTCTAAGGACAGAATGGTTTTCCAAACCTAATCTGTTTGCTGTCCTTCAGAAGTCAGCTCAAGGGAAAAAAACTAGAGGAACTTTGTCTTTCTGTCAAATTTTGTATCTGTATATTGTGGGTGCCTCGCTTTGTGGGGAGAGCACTCGGGAGATTAATGAACATTATGGACCAGTAGAGCCTGAAGTAGGCAGGCAGGAAGCTGACCTAGCTGTGCCCTAGCACATACACCAATGAAACCATACTCTCCAATGATCAAGGAAAATACGTGTTTGAGCTGGAGATGTGGCTCAGTTGGTAGAGTACTTGTTTAACCTGCACAAGACCTGGGCTTAATTAAAAAAAAAAAAATCACATAAAATGGGGCATGGTCTCGGGAGGCAGAGGCAGGTGAATCTCTGTGAGTTTAAGGTCAGCCTGGTCTACATAGTGAGTTCTAGGCCAGATGGGGCTACAGGGGTGTGGTAGGGCTGAAGAAATGGCTCAACAGTTACAAGCACTGGCTGTTCTTACAGAGGACCCAGGCTCAATTCCCAGCACCCACATGGCAGCTAACAACCATTTGTAACACCAGTTCCAGGGGCTCCTATGCTCTCTTCTGGCCTCTGCAGGCATTGCACGGCATAAGTGCACTCACATACATGCAAGCAAACCACTCATACACATAAAAGAGGCGGGGCATGGTGATGCAGGCCCATAATCCCAGTAATGGGGATGTGGGAGCAGGAGGATCAGAGGTTCAAGGTTGTCCTTGGCCACACAGGGAGTTGGGGGAGAGCAGTGTTTAACCCTGGGCAGAAGGATTGCTGTTTGTTCTCTTTTGCTCACCTCTTCTCTATAATGAATGTGTTTTATGTGTGAACTTAAACACCCATATTAATTCCTATAAAAATTAATGAAAAGACACACATTTTCCTTCTCCACATCTTGGGCTATGTCACTGTTTTGGTTTTGTTTCTTTTTTTGTTTGGTTGGTTTTTGTCTCAACTCTCCCCAGACCCTCCAGCCTCTGTTCAGAGGAACTGCCAAATCTCAGCAGTGTTCAGTTTTTGGAAGAGATTTATCGCTCACCCTTGAACTTCTAAAAACAGACCACTTTTTCTTCTACCCTTCATGATGGGCGACAGATGCTACACCTGCCTCAGAAGTGACAGAGCTTAAAGTGATGAGTAAAAGCCCGTCATGGTTCTCACACATTCTGTGGCAGGCGAAAGCTCTGGGCAGAGGACATGGAGCCACGGAAGGTGTGCTGTGTGGTGTGACTCTGCTGCAGCCATGCATGACCTGTCCACGACACTCGGGTTTCATCCAACATCACTAACGTTTGTTATGTTGCTATGTCATTTCAGATTTTTGACAATGAAGCCAAAGACCTTGAAAGAGAAGTTTGCTTTATTGATATCGCCTGTGATGAAATTCCAGAACGTTACTATAAAGAATCTGAGGTAAGGGATAGATGTGGAAGAGACTGTGTGTGCATCTGTTCATTCGTTTCACAGATATTTGTGATGTGCTTCCTTTCCTGACACCCTTCCATCCGTCTTTATATGCGTTCAATTTGGTCTGAACATTTCTCTGGGCTCTTGAATGCAGGCCTTATCATTAAGTCACTGTTCCCATCACTAGACCCAGCCATCACTTTGTTTCCATTTGGTTTTTCTTATCCTCCCAACTCAGGCGTCCTCCTGTGTGACATCAGTATTCATGGAGCTAAGCATCCAACATGCTGGCTTTCTGAAAAACAGCAGCCTGTCTCTGTGAGGACAGGGATTGCATTTCATTTCTATCTTTGGGATTTAACGTAAAGAAAATCCTCAATCAAATCCTCAAAACTTTGATGGCTCATGTTGGCCCAGAAACTATCCTCTCAAAATAGCAAGCACTTCCCTAGGCCTTCTTTTTTCTTCCTGGCTAAGAATACATTGAAGAGAACATCTTTCCCTCTGGCCTGTCCCCTACCAGGACCCGCCCTCTGCCTTACAGGGCTCTCCCTTTTCATGCCACTGTTGGTGCCAGTCATTTATATCCTGGGAGTATTTTATTAGTGGATGTCAGGGTGATCTCCTTGTAAACAGTGTCGCAGCCTGCAATGACAACAGATGCAGGGCTATTTTTGTTGTTTAGCTGTATGGAATCAGGGCCCCAGACTCAACATGAGCTGTAAGCACATGGACTTTGAAACTCTTCTCTCAGATTCATTAAGGCTGATTGAAGATATCATGCATAAGCCCATTAAAAGTGAGTGTCAGGCCATCAAGATGGCTCTGTGGTTAGAGGTGCTTACAGTGAAGTCTGACAACCAGAGTTCTATCCCCAGGACCCGCATGATAGAAGGAGAGATCAGACTCCTGCAAGTTGTCCTCTGACCTCCACACCCCCCACTGCCCCCCCACAATCAATAAATGATTTTCAGTGAGTTCTACCAGGTCACACACAAACTGGACTACACATGGGTCACGTGTTTTCCCCCTCTATTTGTGGATTTTTTTGGATAGAAAAGTCTTACTTGGCTTTAGTAGACACATACCTGATTCAGTGCAAACTCAGGCTGTTTGTTATCTGCTGTCCCTTAAAGGAAGGTCTGGGCAGAGGCTGTTTTAAATCACTCTGTGAGACACACATTCACCCAAAGCCTGAGCATGTTGTTATCATCCACTTGTACTCTGCAGCCTGTATGTTTGAAGAAAAGCAAAGTTGCCAGGTCTGGCGGCGCACGTCTTTAATCCCAGCACTTAGGAGGCAGAGGCAGCTTAATCTCTGCGAGATCAAGGCCAACCTGGTCTCATAGCAGATTCAAGGCCAGCTAGAGCTATATGGAGGCCCTAGCTCAAAAAAGAAAGAAAGAAGGAAAGAAAGAAGGAA